GAGGAAGCAAAATTGTCTTTATTTGAAGATAGCATGATTGTTCATGTAGAAAATTTGATGGAATCTACAAAACAGCTGCTAGAAGTAATACAGGAGACTATGTTGCAAGATATAAGATCAATATGCAGAAATCAACTGCATTTCTATACACTAGCAAAGAACAATTGGAAATTTAAAAATAACGCTATTTACAACACCTCCAAAAGTATGAAATACTTAAAGAAAAAACTGACAAAAGACATTCAACACATGGACAACTGGAAATTACAAAGCATTGCTAAGAGATGTTAAAGACGACCCAACTAAATGGAGAATTCATGAGTGAGAAGACTCAATATAGTTAAGATATCAGTTCTCTCCAATGATCCATTGGGATCCATGCAATCCCAATCAAAATCCCCATGTGATTTTTTTGTAGGACGTGATGGGCTGATTCTAAAATTGACATAGAAATGTAAGGGTTTTAGAACTGTAAAAACCACTTTGAAAAAGAATAACAAAACTAGAGGGCCAGGATTATCCTAAGATATAATAAAACAACAGTAACGAAGACAATATGGTATTGGAGTAAAGATACACAAACAGATCAGTGGAACAGATAGAGAGTCCAGAAATAGACCTACACATATATGGATAACTGATGTTCAATGAAGGTACTAAGATAATTCAGTGGAGAAAGGATAGTCTTTTCAACAAATGGTGCTGGAACAATTGAATATCCACATGGAAAGAGAAAGAAAGAAAGAACGAGAGAGAGAGAGAAGAGGGAGGGAGGGAGGAAGGGGGAAAGGAGAAAAAAGGAAGGAGGAAGGGAGAGAGGGAGAGAAAGAAAAAAATACACGCAAACTGGGATCCATTCTTTGCACCATATACAAAAATTAACTCAAAAGAGATCACAGACCTAAATGTAAAACATAAATTGTAAAGTTTCTACAAGAAATAATAAAGGAAAATCTTTGTGACCTTGGATTAGACAACAATTTCTTATAACACCAAAAGCACAATCTATGAAAGAAAAAAATTGATAATTTGGACTTTATCAAAATAAAAAAGTTCAGCTTTTTGAAAGACACTGTTAAGATAATGAAAAGAAAAGTGGTAGACTAGTCACTAGTTTGCAAATTATATATCTGTAAATCATTATCTGATAAAGGACTTGTATCCAAAACACACAAAGAACTCTCAAAACTTAATAACAGGAAAAAAAACCCAAACCAATAAAAAAAAAAAATGGGCAAAAAATTTGAACAGATCCTTTATCAGAGAAGATATAAGGATGGCAAATAAGCACATGAAAAGATGCTCATCATCATAGTCTTTAGGGAAGTGCAAATTAAAACAACAATGAGATACCACTATACACCTTTTAGAATGACTAACATTTAAAAGATTGATCATACCAAATGTTGGCCCAGCTTAAAACAAGAAACACTTAGGGGCCAGCCTGGTGGCATAGCGGTTAAGTTCACATGCTCCGCTTCAGTGGCACAGGGTTCACAGGTTTGGATCCCGGGAGCGGACCCACGCACTGTTTGTCAAGCCATGCTGTGGCGGTGTCCCATATAAAGTAGAGGAACATGGGCACAGTTGTTAGCCCAGGGCCAGTCTTCCCCAGCAAAACGAGGAGGATTGGCATTGGATGTTAGCTCAGGGCTAATTTTCCTAACACAAAAACAAAACAAAACAAAACAAGAAACATTATCTCGTAGTTTCCATGGGTTGGAGTCCACGCATGGCCTAGCTGGGTGCTCAGGATCCCACAAAGCTGCAGTCAAGATGTCAGCCACGTTGTGTTCTTTTCTGGAACTCAGGCCTTTTCCGAACTCACATGATGGTTGACAGATTCAGTTTCTTGCGGTTGTAGGGCCAAGGTCCCTATTTCCTTGCTGGCTGTCACTCAGAGGCTGCTCTCAGCTCCTAGAGGCCGCAGGCAGTTCCTGGCCATGTGGGCTTTCTCACCACATGCAGCTTACTCCCTCAACAGCAGCAGGACCATCTCTCTCCAGGCCGCTGAGATGGAGTCTTACATAACGTAACATAATGGCGGGAGGGACGATCCCACCATCTGGGTCATAGTCTATTGGCTAAAAGTAAGTCACGGGTTCCGTTCACGCCCAAGGGGAGGGGACTATACAGAGCACGATTCACCGTGGGTCATCTCAGGGCGTATCTGCCGCAGCAGCTGTTTTATTTTTTATTTATTTATTTATTTTTTTTAAAGATTTTATTTATTCAGTTTTTTCCCCCCAAAGCCCCAGTAGATAGTTGTATGTCATAGGTTCACCTCCTTCTAGTTGCTGTACGTGGGACTCGGCCTCACGTTGGACGGAGAAGTGGTGCCTCGGGGCGCTCCCGGGATCCGAACCCGGGCCGCCGGCATCAGAGCGCGCGCACTTAACCGCCAAGCCACGGAGCCGGCCTGCTGTTTTATTTCTACTCGTCTCAAGGTGGAAACAACTCAAATGCCCTCAACAGGTGAATGGATAAACAAACTGGTATATCCATACTGTGCAACGCGACTCAGCAACAAAGATAAATGAATGATACACACAGAACATGAGTAATCTCAAAATAATCATGCTGAGTGAAAGAAGCTAGACAAAAACAAGTATTTACAGTGTTATTCTAATTATATAAAGCTGTAGGAAATGCACACTAATCTATAGTGACGGAAAGCAGATCAGTGGTTGCCTGGGAAGGAGAATCGGGGGCAGGACATGCCCGGGCGTGAGAGAGGTATTACAAAGAGGCAGGAGGAAACTCTTGGGGGTGACAGATACGTTCACAATCTTGATAGTAGTGATGATCACAGGGGTGCATCACATATCAAAACTTATCAAATTGTACACTTTAAATAGTTCGGTTTACTATATGTCAATCATACTTCACCAAGCTGTTTAAAAAACTTAGCATCTTCTTCCAGAATCATCTCTCTCAAGGTATTCTTGGCTTGTTAATAGAAGCTTTCCTTTTTGTTACTTTTGAATTCACCAATTTGCTAAATTTTCCAAGTTTATTTTTTAACAGTGGATTCTAAGTCAGTGAGACAGGAGCTTTTGTTTGAGGTGGTGAAATTGTGGCAACTGTTGATATGTGGGTCTTGTATTATGAAATATCTCTAAGAGGGAGTCTATTCAGTTGGCTTACATTTTGAAGGTTAAGTGGGAGAGTCAGATGGGCAAACAGACAATTTCAATATAATATAACTGCACACATGTGCACACACTCTATGGAGGCGCGGGATGAGGGAGAGAAAGACGTAGCCCAGCCTGGGGTGGGTGAGTGGCATGCAGAGACTGTGGAGAGGGTGCCTGAAGTGAGTTTAGGGGGTGAGTAGGAGTTTGGCAAGTGAAGAAGGGAAAAGGCATTCCAGGTAGAGAAAGTGGCATGCGTGAGGGCTGGGAGGCAGCCAAGAGCATGTTACATGTGGGGACACATAAGGAATTTGGTAGCATTAGGCATACGTTGTGGTGGATGAGGTTGGAGAGGGTGGCTGAGGGTTGACATGAAAGGCATTAGCATTTAGACATTATCTATTAGGCAGAGATTCTCTGAAGAATTTTAGGAGATGAATATGTCATCAAAGAAAAGTATAATCCCATCTATTGATGTAAAGGCTTCATAATATAAAGTGATGGCAAGGAGAGGAATGAGAAGATGGATTAAGACAGCTAAAAGACAATGTTGCAAGTCCTGGCGATCAACTGGCCATAAGTGAAAGAGAGAAGTCTATAGTGATCCCCAAGTTTTTATCCTGGGATTGTTCCATTAACTGAAAACAGAACACAAGAGGCAGAAGGAGGTCTGGTGGAAGTGGGAAGAAGAGAAAGAAATGAGTTCAAGTTGGGCAAGTCAAGTTTCAGATGCATGGGGTATGTTGAAGTGAAGTTGCCTTTTAAGGTAGGCAGCAAAAGGTCAGAGAATAAGAATATGTGTGAGCAGTGAAAATCTGATAGTGGCAAGATTGTCCTAGGAAAACGTGTAGAGAAGAGTATTGGGCGGGAACCCAGAAGAACCTTTCACCAAAGGCTGGGGCTAGAAGGGAAATCCCTCCTTAAGATCCGGAATGAATGGTCAGAGGCATAGTGAAGGTAATGAAATAAACCATCCTGTCCTACTGACCAAAGTCTCTATTCCAAAGACTTGTTCTCTACCCCTCCCCTTTTTACCCTCAGGTCTTCTGTTGCAGGAAAAGAAAGCAACATATGCAACTTCTTTGTCCTGAAAGAGATCAGATTAAATAGAAAGGATAACAGACAACACGTGGCAGCTGATATCAAGGAAATGTTTTTGGTTGACTGTCATGGTCCTCTTGGGTTTAATTTATTGGTGACTGCTGTTAACCTCCTGACAATCCACAGGTTTGTCCTAAAAAGCCACCAGAGAGGAGTCAGAGGCCTGGCCTCTGTTGGTGTGATCATCAGCAAAATGCATCTTTCCACTACATTCTACAGTTTCACTGAGGAATGGGATGGACCATTCACAATGGCTCTTTTCATTGGGTATAGAAAGAACTCTGTTATCAAGTTGGGTGAGGGTCGTGAAGTTGGCTCTTGGCTGTATTTTGGCATTGATAAGAGGGGGAAATCTAGGATAGCTGCCAGAATTTTGTGGTTCTGGTTGTTGGGGCCTTATTGTCTGAACCACCACAGGCAGACTTGGAAACATCTAGGTAGCCAGGAAGTGCCCAGACACCAGAGTACTTATAACAGAGATTTTTCCTTTTTTATAGAAACTAAAATCAGTTCTAGAAATGAGAGAGAGACGTATTTAATAACTAGATCCAAGGTCAGGAATGTCTAGACAGACAGACAGGTAGATAGATAGATGGTTAGATAAATAGATATAGATATATTTATGATGTTTGTGGGGAGAGCTACACATATAGCTACCTATGTGTAGGTAGGTAAGCTTCAAAACAAGTCTCCCTGAAGGCAGGGCAATGAAATTTAAAAAAAGGGAGAGAGAGAAGTGATTAATACTAATATCAATTATAGCCTAGAGGCCCAGTAAGATAAGGCGTCTGTGAATTTTGGCAATATGGAAGTCTCTGGCAATCCTAGTGAATTTTAATCAAGTAGCATAAGCAGAAGATAGATTTTACTGCCCAGTGAGTACAAATGTGAAGTGAATTAAAGAAACAGAGCAAAGGATAGAGTATTATTAATAAATCTGACAGAGAAAATATGAATGATACAGCATTGAGGGAAGTAGAAATGCAGGGTCAATGGTGGAGACATATTTTAGAATAGGAGAGAGCCAAGCATATTTGCAGGTGGGGGAACACTGCAAAAAGAGAGGAAGAAAATAAAGATGCAAAAATATGAGGGGATGGTTAGTCAAGGTCGAAGAGAAAACAGAGCACGTATGCATTCTGGGAGAAGAGAGAAGAAAAACATTGGTGGACAGGTGGCATCTCATCCCTTGAAGATGGAGGAAACAAGACACTACACCAGGCAGATGTAGATAAATGTATAGATCCCTCCACTGGGGTTAAGGTCCAGCCTCTGAAGCACCTGAGTGCTCCCCTCCCATCTTAGCCTCCTCCTGACCCACATCCTGCCTGCAAAAACTTGCATCCAGCAGCCTAACAACTTTGTGGATATAATACCATTGATTGAAATACCACAATGAACACCCCGGACCTGGCTAACTTAGGTTCAAACAAGGAAGTAGAGCTCAAAGAATTCAAAGCAACATATTCATTGATTTGTACTTATCTTTCTAATTCGTATTTGCAGAGAGAGGATGAGACCAACGTGAAAAAAATGGAATTCAAGTTCTGAAAGCCTTCCAAAGGTGCGCCATGAAGCTGAGCTGTGGTCGGGCTGTTTATTTTTTAAGTCCCGGAGCATTAGACTCAATCTTCTAGAGTGTTTGTATCGAGAGCGTTGGTCCAGGCGACCAGATCTTCCACTTCTTTTTCCCATGACTCATTCGTGTTATCGTCATCTGGTGAAGATTCGCACTTCCACCCCTCCTCTGTTTCATCAGTCCCTATGAGAATATCTGCTTCAGTTTGTGAATCAGGAAAAATTTGAACTGTAATGGGAAACATGAAAAACAGAAATTTAATAGACATGGCAGGAAATACAATAAGAAGAGAAGTGTGCCTGCATTTGTAGCATCGTGCCTAAGATCACGTGAGTGAGTGCAAGCAACATATTCAAACTTTCTAAATTTCACATTTTGTAATTGACTTTGTCATAAATCATTCTTTCCATTTGGGTCAATCTTTTTATGCTTTGTTGGTTCATTCATTTAACATATATTTACTGGGTCCCCACTACATGCCAGGAGGTGTGTTAGGGAAAAGGTGTCCACGAGTGCTCCAGCAGCACGAGGATGAAGCCCTGTGTCCAAGGGAAAACAGACCCAGACTTTGAAGGAGGAAGAGCGATTTCCTAGACAGAGAAGGGCCAAGGAGGGAGGTCAGGGCCCTTTAGATGGAGGACATGGCACACAGGAGGCACAAAGGTACAAGAGGACTTGATGGGCTTGGAGGTGATCAGAGTTGACCCTTCAGTACTCACACCGTGCCAGGTGCCAGGCTAAGCCGTCTACTTGTATAATATTATTTAACTTAGACACAATCCTTGTGATGGGCAGGTATTATCATCCTTATTTTACAGATGAGGAAACTGAGACTGAGTGACCTGAGTAACTTGACCAAGGACATCCAGCTACTAAGAGTTGCTCCTAGGTCCTTGGATCCAGAATGGTGGTGTCAGAGTGCATGGAGAGTGCAGTGGAGCTGGCTAGTCAGGCTGAGGCCAGATTAGGAAAGCCTCGTATGGCATGCAGAGGAGTCTCATCTTTCTTGTATAGGTCTTGTAAATAGGGAAATAGAGGGGTTACATTTTTAAAGAAGAAAATAGATACAGTATATTTCTCAATACTTCCACTCAGTGTGGGGACTTGCTTTCCAGGCATGCACCCTAATTAGTGCTAGGTTCTGCTCCCTCTCCAGCCCCACTGCATTCTCCTCCTTCTGTGTAGTTGCCACCTGATTCATTGCCTACTTGGGTTCCAGGACAAATTCTGTTGGTCTCATATTTCCCTAATTCCATATCAAATGAACCTTGTAATATTCATTGTCTTCTGGCTGTGCTATAGACAAGGTGGTGAGGGAATTTTTCTCTTGGTCTCTTTGGTTTATAGAAAGATGTATAGAGAAATTGGAGTTTAGACAGTTGCCATTATCCTACGAGAACCCTGAGGTCTCTGATGATCGAGTTTTTATTTTTATATTTTAATATTAATCTCTAGCTTTCATTAATTTAAAGCTGAATTCCATCTTTCCCTTGAGAAAACCTTCTACTTTACTTTCTATGAACACATCACTGATAGACTAACTCCAGTTCTTTCTAACCATGTTTGGGCCTTTCTGAATTCACGTGCTTTTGGTTATGAGAAATACAGAGCCCAACCCAAACCAGTTTAAACGATAGGGAAGTGTCTTATCTCGCAGGAGAGGAAAGTCAGAGGCAGGCCAGGAGTGAATGGTACAGTGACCCAACAGTGTCACTAAGGACAAGTTCTTCTCACTGCTCTGCTTTGCCATCTTTGGGTGTCTTCACCTTCAGAGTCACAGCAAGAGAGCTGTGGCCATTCTAGTACATCAGACACGGCAACATCCAGAGGGAAAAAAGGGTCTTCTCTCCAGGGTCTTGTTTTTAAGAGTAGAACCACCCCCTGAAGCCCTCAGTAGATTTCCTCTCAGGCAGGATCATGCCACTCCCTGCTCTTAAACTAGTCGCTAACAAGGGAAGCGGGATTACCACAGTTGGCTGACACCCGTTGTTGGGGTGGAATGAATGTTGGGAGTCAATCACCTTGACTGTTTGCCCTCTTAGTTCCTGCTCTGTTAAAAAAACTCCCAAGAAGCATCAAAAAACAAATCCTGGCTAGATTAGCAGAGTATAATGCAAAACAAATACAGCAAAGTTTCCCTATGACAGAGAAAAAATAAATATTATTTTGAACTTCTTTCCTTCATAAAATCTTAAATACTATAAATCCCTCTGAGAAATCTTGGATTTACTGATTGGAATCAATAATAATAACTTTGTTACTATGTTAAAATAAGTTATGAAAACAAATTCTAATTGCCTTATAGTTAGTATGCCTTTCTTGGGATGGATCCTGGAAACTCTGCTTCTTATTTTTATTTTAGTCAAAAATAATTTGGTTAGTGAAGATATTAAAATTTGTTCTAACTGGTGGGCTCTGATTATTGCCAAGTGGTTTATTTCCATTCACTTCTGTATCAGTCTGAGTTCAGTGAGGAAAACAGAGCCGCTACAAGTGATACAGGAATGAGGGGTTTCATGCAGGAAACAGGGACTGCACAGGTGTGGGAAGATCTAGAGGAGTGCAGCTGGAGAACTGGGAAAACTTCCTTAGCCTGATGCACCGACATGAGTGGGAAAACCAGGAGTCCATGGGGAAGGATGAGGGGCTGCACTCAAAGCAGGACAAACATTATGAGTTCATGAGATTTCTGTGACACCATCATGTCTGTAAAGCGAGAGTTTGTGAAGAGTTGTGTGAAATTGGTGTGTCTGAGGAAGCTGCCGTGCCCAACACACACAACTTCTCAAGAATAAGGGCATCTTCTTCCCTCCTGCCTCCTAAGTCTCAGGAGAATTTTTCTCATTGGCAAACTATGAAATGCTAACCCTCTCTACAAAAGAGGAGCACAAAGTTCGTTCCTTTTCCAACTGAGGCATACTTCCCTTGGATGTCCTAAGACCACTATTGCTACATGCTAAACAACCACAAAGTCTCAGCGACATTCAACAACAAGCATTTGTTTGGGTCACACGTCTGTGGGTCAGCTGGGGATTGACTGGCTGACTTGGCTGGGGACGGCTGGGGAGCTTGGCTGGGGAGGCTCAGCTCTATGCCTCTCGTCTTTCTCTGTGCCCAGAGGGTAGTCCAGGCATGTTCTTGTGATGATGGCAGAAGGGAAAAAGAGCAAGCCAAATTGCACAAACCCTTCCCAAACCCTGGACATACCACATCCACTCATACTCCATTGATCAAAACAAGTCACGTGGCAAAATTCAAAGCCCAGAGTCAGGAGGTACATTTTGCCCATGAAGGTGGAACACAGTAGGGGGTGATTATTTCTGAACAATAATCTAATTTACCACAACCTCTTAGATACAGCCTCTTCTCTTAGCAGTGAGATTAGACGTAAAGGATAGTCTACCCCATTCCCAAAGAGGACAAGGCCCAGCACTGGAGAGCTAATCAGCTCTGGACATTCCTTAAAACATTCTCTTTTCCGGCTCACCTCTCTATTTCTCACTCATCATGAGCTTATTCCCCCTTTTCCAAAATCAGAGCTGCTAAAAGCATGACAACTCTACTTCGTTCTATCCTTCATTCACTCATTCATTGACGGGCATTGAATGGCTACTGTTTGTCAAGCACTTGCTGCAGCAGATTGGGACATAAGCAGCCCCTGCCCTCAGGAGGTCGCATTCCATTGAAGGAGACTGGCAGTCAAGAGACTGCATAACACAGCCCATGTCGAGGACAAACTCTAAGGGGGTTTGCCATGATCCCCACATTCTAGTGTTCACATCTTTGTGTAATCCCATTCCTTTTCAGTGTGAGTGGGACCTGTGACTTACTTCTAATCAATAAAATATGACAAAGGTGATGGAATCTCACTCCCAAGACCATGTTATAGGACATAAAATTCCATCCTTTGTATCAGACTCGTTCTAAAGACTCTCCTTGCTGGCTGGAGGAAGTAGGATGCTATGTTGGGAAAGCCCACATGGCAATGAACTGTTGGCAGCCTCTAGGAGCTGAGGGAGGTCTCCAGCACACAGCCAGCAAGAAGCCAGGGCCTCAGTTCCAAGGAGAGGAGAAAATGAATTCTGTCAACAACCTTAGTGGGCTTGGAGGCAGATCCTTCCCCAGTCAAGCCTCCAGATGAGAAAGAAGCCCAACTGACACCTTGATCGCAGCCTTATGAGATCCCAACCAGAGGATCCAGCTATGCTGTGCTGGACTCCGGGCACAAAGAAACTAGGAAATAATAAATATGTGTTGTTTTAAGCCATTAAGGGGTGGTAATTTGTGACACAGCAATAGAAAATTAACAGATAATAGGCATGATAAAAGTGCTATGATAGCCCACAGGGAAAGCTTCCTAGAGAAGGTAATACCTGAGCTGAATCACAAAGGATGAGTGGGTACTAGAAGGGAAAAGTAGGGAGGGAACGGTGTTTGAGTGGGGTATGAGAAAGCATAATATACTTCTCAAATTTTTTTTAAAATGAGGAAGGAAATAAACACTCATGACCCACCAGGTCAGCGTGGTGTTTGAGGTGGAGTGGGAGAGGGGTAAGAGATGTCACTGAAAAGGCAGACAGAGATTAGAGCATTAAAGACTTTGTCATCTCAAAGAGTCTAAATTTTATCCTGAACGAAATAGGAAACAAAGGATTTTAGACTCGGTAAACACATAAGCAGATTTGAGCTGTAGAAAGCAGTCTGACAAAGCATGGACAGAAACTGTTGCAATCATTGGCTTAACCAAATGATCTTTTCCTCTGGTGAAGATGGTGGGGATGCTGGAGGATAGAGACGCAGAGAGGAGTAGAGAATTCATGGAGGACGAAGGAAAGGCAACATTTCCTACCAGTCCTTGCAGGCACCCTGAAATCTGGAAGAAGGAAGGGGTGAATAGAGAAGACCGAGGCTGGTAATTCAGAGGAGGAGATCTGAGTGGTACCCAAAACAAGGAGGAGGAAGAGAAGTAGAATCTGAGGCAGGGAAAAGAAAGTCAGCAAGACGGGAGCAGGACCTGACGGATCACTGAGTGAAGGTCCTTGCTCACGCCTGGCATTGATGTGCTGTTGTGCTTAAGGGACAGGGGACGGGAAAAGCAGTAACTAACAGTGAGAGCACTTTCCAGTTCATACATGGAGTCATTTAGTCACAAGCCTACTGTGAGATAGGGCAGGATTTCGAAGCAAATATTTACTGAACATCTTCTGTGTACCCAGTACTAGTGAGGATGAAGAAACGGAAGCTCAGAGGTTGAGTTTCCCATAGTCACACAGACCTGGTCTCTACACCCAAGGTCTCTGACCCTGAATGTCTTGTTCTCCCCTCTATACTCACTGATTTCTAAAAGTTATCAGCTCTCTCCGCCTGCTCAGGACCCACCCTTGATCCATCCCAAATCTTTCTTTGAAAAACATTAATTTTAAAAGGAGCACCAAAAACAACTCAACTAATGTTATTCCTTTCTTTTCAGCCATATTTGACATATCTCTGAATCGACAATGAGTTTTAAGGATCAGTTTATTTAGCGTTTTGCTTGTTTTACATGCTTTCACACATTTTGAAACTTAGCCTTAGATTTTCAAATTGCATATTAGCCTATTAGAGGGTAGTAAGCCTCAAAGTATAAGTAATCAATTTTTTTCAAATCTCCAATTCCTAGGTAAGTAGTTTAGTGAATTTATTTTGTTAATCAGAAAGAGTTAAAGCAACTTTATATTTTTTTTAATTTTATTTATTTATTTTTCCCCCAAAGCCCCAGTAGATAGTTGTGTGTCATAGCTGCACATCCTTCCAGTTGCTGTACGTGGGACGCGGCCCCAGCATGGCCGGACAAGCGGCGCGTCAGCGTGCGCCTGGGATCCGAACCCAGGCCGCCAGCAGCGGAGCGCGCGCGCCCAACCGCCAAGCCACGGGGCCGGCCCTAAAGCAACTTTAAAAGCAGAACACAAGAGGGGCTGGCCTGGTGGCACAAGCAGTCAAGTGCGCATGCTCTGCTGTGGCGGCCCAGGGTTCGCCAGTTCCGATCCCGGGCGCGCACCGATGCACCGCTTGGCAAGCCATGCTGCGGCGGCGTCCCATATAAAGTGGAGGAAGATGGGCATGGATGTTAGCCCAGGGCCAGTCTCCCTCAGCAAAAAAAGAGGAGGATTGGCAGATGTTAGCACAGGGCTGATCTTCCTCACACACACACAAAAAAAGCAGAACACAAGATTAGGTCTCACATGTTTAAACTTATTTGAACTGAACAAAAATTTAAATTTATTATTATGACTAATATTTTAGGTTTAAAAACAAAGCAAAACAAATAGGCTGAACTCAATTTACTTGGAGTTGGGCAGAGATGAGTTCTTTCGGTTGGATAACTGGCTTTGTAAGGCCTTTTATTTTCTCTAGCAAGCCGAGCCACAACAGCAGCATACCTAGAGTAAGAAAAAAAGAAATTATCTCATTTCCCAGATGAACTTTGGGAAGCATACATTACTTTTAAAAAATCAAGCAAACAAATCAAATGAAACAGACAAGCAGGGCAATGGGCTTTGAACATGGTGACATTCTGAGTACTGACTAATGCCATGGCAAACAGAAATTATCCGAATACGTTTTTTCCAACAGAATAGTAGTTAGAAAAGCAAACAAATATGGTGTAAGATTAATATTGTGAAAGTAATAAAAACATCATTTGGTATAGCAAGTCGCATTCGTTTCCTAGGGCCTCCACAGCAAATTCCCGTGTACTTGGGGACTTACAATAACAGAAGTTTATTCTCTCGCAGTTCTGGAGGTTGAAGTCTGAAATCAGGTGTTGGCAGGGCTGTGCTCCCCCTGGAGGTTCCTGGGAAGAATGCTTCTTTGCCTGTTCCTGCCTCTGTGGCTCCCGGCCCCCTGTGGGGTTCCCTGGCTTGCAGCTGCATCACACCAGTCTCTGCCTCTCTCGTCACACGGCCTTCTTCCCTGTGTGTCTGTGCCTCTCCTCTCCTTATAAGGACACCAGTCACTGGATTTAGGGCCCACCTTAATCCAGTACAGCCATCTTAACTAATTATATCTACAAAGATCCTATTTCAAAATAAAGTCATATTCTGAGGTTCTGGGTGTATCAAATTTTAGGGGAACACTATTCAACCCACTACACAAGGGAACAGTTCTATCAGAAAAATTCACGACCTATCCTGGAAAAACAACCACCTAGTAGGAGACATCAACGAACCCAAGTTAAGCAATCACGCGTTTCCTTAGAGAAGGAGTTCATATATGGAGATAAAAATTTTTACAAAAACTTCTTTTGGGGGTGACTAAATTTTGCAATGTATTATGACAAAAAAATTTTCGGTGAAAATATTGTTTATTGAGGAAAATTAAGTGGCATAGAAACGCTTTTGTCCCACAAGTGCACGTTGCTTACACAATACTACTGAAAAGTTCAATCTTTTGAAAAATAGGCATTGGGCACCTACCTGCCCCAGGCACTGTTCCAGGAGCTAACGATACAGGAAGGACAAGACAGACAAGGTCCCCGACCTCCCAGAGAGGAGACGAAAATGAGCAAATATGAAAATCAAGACACATCAGCAGTGATTTGTGCTGTGATGAAAATAAAGCCTCCAATAACATGCTGCATGGAAGTGGTGAGAGCCGCCATCCTTGCCTTGTTCCTGACATCACGGAGAACATTCAGTCTTTTACAATAATATTACTTATGTTGGCTGTAGTTTTTTCACAGATGAGCTTTATCAGGTTGAGGAAGTTCCTTCCTGTTCTTAATTTACTGAGAGCCTTCTTTTTAAAATCAGGAATTGGGGTTAAAATTTTCTTTTTTTTATTGAAGTATAATTGACATACAATATTAGTTTCAGGTTTACAATATAGTGATTTGACATTTTTGTACATTACGAAATGATCATCACACTAAGTCTAGTTACCATCTGTCACCATACAATGTCATCACAATACTATTGACTACATTCTCTGTGCTGTACGTTACATCCTCGTGACTTATTTTATAACTGGAAGTTTTCACCTCTTGATCCCCTTCACCTGTTTCACCCTCCCCCGCCCCCCTCTCCTCTGCAACCACTAGTTTGTTCTCTGTCTCTCTGAGTCTGTTCCAGTCTTGTTGTATTTGAAATTTCCTTCACCTATAGAGATGATTGTATGGTTCTTCTTTCTTAGTCTATTTTACACTGTTTGAATTTTTCAAATGTTAAACCAAAGTTATATTCCTGGTGTAAATCTCACTTGGTCATATACAATTATCATAATTATTTATTATAATTAATTGTGACCAAGTGGGGTTTACACTAGGAATGTAACCTTGATTTAACACTCAAAAAAAATCAATGTTTGAAAAAATATATATACATATATATATATATATTTGGATTCAATTTGCTAAAATGTTTGCATCTATGTATATGAAGTGTATTGATGTGTAATTTTTTTTCCTTGTACTGTGCCTGGTTTTGTTACCGAAGTAATGCTGACTATAACGTATTTGGGAAGTGTTCCCTTCTCTTCTATTTTCTGAAAGAGTGTGTGTACACTGGTATTATGTTTTCCTCAAATATCTGGAAAAATTCTCCAGGGAAGCCATCTGGGCTTGGAGTTGTCTTTGTGTGAAGGCTTTTAGCTATCAATTCAATTTCTTTATTAGACATAGGATTATTAGGTTATCTATTTCTTTTTAAGTGAGCCTTGGTGGATGATTCTTTCAAGAAACTGTTCATTTCATCTATGTGGTTGAATTTATCGGTCTGAAAAAGGCTTTATTTTACTCTCATTTTAGAGATATTTTCATGGGTATAAATTTCCAGGTTAACGATTTCTTTATTTCAAGCACTTTAAAATTGTCTCTACTATCTGTTGGCTTACAAAGTTTCTGACATGAAGTTGTTGGTCGTCTTTATCTTTGTTGCTCTACGTGAGTGAGTGAGTGTGTCGTCCTTTGCTGTTTTGAGGGTTTCCTCTTTATCACTGAGTTTCAGCAATTTGATCATGATGTATCTTGGTATGGTTTCTTTTGTTTTTAGAGTGGATTTTTCCTCCTCCATACCCACTTTCCGTTTCTCCCCGCCCTCAAAGCCCCAGTGCATGGTTGTATATCCTAGTTGTAAAGTCCTTCTAGTTCTTCTATGTGAGCTGCCGCCACAGCATGGCTGCTGACAGACGGATGGTGTGGCTCTGCAACCAGGAACAGAATGCGGGCTGCCGAAGCCGCGATAGCGCCGAACTTTAACCACTAGGCCATTGGTATGGTTTCTTTATATTTTTGTTTCTTGGGATTCGTTGAGCTTCTTGGTCTCTGAGTTTATAGCTTTCATCAAATTTGGAAAATTTTCAGCCATAATTATTTCTTCACATATTTTTTTCTGTCAGTTCTTTTCTGGGAAACCAATTACATGTAGCTTACACCACGTGATACTGTCACACAGCTCACTGAGGCTTCTTTTTTTTGTTTGTTTTTTTTCTCTCTATGCTTATTTTCAAGAGTTTATATTGCTACATTTTCAAGTTCATGGGTCATTTCTTCTACAGTATCTAATTTGCTGTTCTTTCCATACAGTGTACATTTAAAACATTTTTTATTTATTTTCATCTCTGGACTTTCCATTAGTCTTTTGTGATATCTTCCATTTCTCTTCATCATATTCATGGTTTTCTTTACATCCTTGAGTATATTTTATAAGATGTATAATAGCTGCTTTAAGGTCCATATTTACTAATTCCATCATCTCTATCATTTATGGATCTATTTATATGGATAGATTTTTCTTTTGGGTATGGATTACACTTTCCTGCTTATTTGCATGACTGGCCATTTTGAGTGGGATGCTAGACATTGTAAATTTTATTTTGTTGGGTGCTGAATTTTGTTATATTCCTTTAAATATGGATGTCCGTTGTTCCAGCACGCAGTTCAGTATCTTGCAGATCACTTTGATATCTTCAAGGCTTGTGTTTAAGTCTTCTTATGGATCCAGAACAGCTTTTATTCAGGAGCTATTATAGCCCCACTACCAAGGTGTGACCCTCTGAAGTCTCTATCCATCGTCTGTCCCCTGAATTAAGAGGTCTTGCTGCTCTACTAGCAGGAACACAAACTGTTTCTAGCCCTCTGTGAGCCTTGTGTGAGTACCAAAACAAACATCAGAATCTTATTTTCCTCAGGACAAACACGACACTAGAAAATAACATAACTTGATTTATACCTTTTCTCCCCCACTGATAAATCTTTGTCTTCAAAAAACTATATAAGTATTGATATTTCCTTTTTTATTCAACCATTTGCCTTTATATAACTGAAAACATAAGTTATAAAACCAAAAATGTATAGTGTCACTAAAGAAATGCAAATTAAATGACTATAAAAGATGTCATAATTATTTTGTTTATTTATTTTTTGTGAGGAAGATCAGCCCTGAGCTAACATCCGTGCTAATCCTCTTTTTGCTGGAAGACCAGCTCTGAGCTAACATCTATTGCCAATCCTCCTTTTTTTTTTTTCTCCCCCAAAGCCCCAGTAGATAGTTGTATGTCACAGCTGCACATCCTTCTAGTTGCTGTCTGTGGGACGTGGCCTCAGCATGGCCGGAGAAGCGGTGCGTCGGTGCGCGCCTGGGATCTGAACCCGAGCTGCCAGTAGCGGAGCTCACGCACTTAACCCCTAAGCCACGGGGCCGGCCCAGATGTCATAATTATTAAGCTAAAAAGTAAAACGAAAACCCCAATCTTGTTCATTTTAAATTCTCAGTCATTTTGGCGGCACTGTAAACAGCTACGTGCTCTTGAAAAGTAGCTTTATGTACATAACAAGAGTCATAAAACTTATTGTATCCTTCCATCTAGTCATTTGACGTTTTGTAACGTGTTCCAAGGAAACTTCTTGGCTTCCTTCTTGTTCCTTCTTTCAGGTAGGACACTATCTATGATGCCTCTGGGGAACTGCAGCCCTCCTCGCTCTCACCCCTGCTCAGACCGAGGCCTAAGCCACTCCATTATCATGCTTCTGTGGCCACAGAGGGGCTGGGGTGGGGAGTGGGGGAGGTTGTTGAGGGGAAGGACAAGGGGAGAGGGAGGGAGACAGAGACAGAGAGATCCCTCAAAGGGTGTTCTATGTGGGACGAGAACCAAGGAGCAATTCTCTTAGAAAAAAAAATCCAGTATGTGTTTTTCATTTGTGTCAAAAGCCCTCTTTCTGAAGGGATATGAAGGGGGAAGCAGCCTTAAGCCATGACGTCTATCACACAGGAGTCTCCACCAGATTCTGCGCTCCAACCAGAAACCCATGGCCAAGTTTTGGGGCTGCATTCTGAGACAGCGATTGATGAAATGGATTATATCCACAAGAGAGGAACAGCAAAGAGTATGGAATTCATAAAAAACAGTTGAAAGACACTGGGTGTGTTTATCCTGAAAGAGAAAA